GCCTTAATTTGAACAGTTACTGCGTTTACACCTCCCTAACAGAACACTCCATATCACACTCAGCAACGTTTAAAAATACAATGATAGAGCTTATGGTTTTCCTCAGTGCTTCATGAACTGCTGTTACTAGGCTTTGTAGATCAGTTGGACAAAAACATATTAGTGCAGTGTCATTGGCAGGTATGTTATTAATAATTACTGCATTTTCACCGCACTCAGCTTCTTGCAGAGGAGATCGAAATTGAGTGTCATTGGCAGGTATCTTATCAATAATTACTGCATTTTTGGCTTCGCTTATTCGAGCCTTGTTCGAGTACCCGTTTTTGCAATTCAGTGTCATTTATTGTCGGTCATTGAATTCTTTCTTAACTTTATTAATTTCTGTTTCAGGAAATTGCGGTCAAAACAACCGACGCATCACATTTCTGACACCAGTCAGAGGTTTCTACCTTGAAGGATACGTGATTTCAAATCATTCCGTGGAACTAAACCTAGATTGCCAAGACCAATGCGCCCTTGCAAGGGAATGTGTTTCATATAATATTGGTCCAACGATCAACAACAAGTTGACCTGTGAACTCAGTAATTCAGATCACTTGCAGCATCCAGAAGATCTCAAACCAAGAAAAGACTGGATCTACGGAGGCACACAGGTACATGTAGAACGTACAATGGCTCAACCCAACTTTAAGAATTCACCATCACTATGTAGTAACGATTTGCTTGAATTTTATTTTAAAACGGTATCAGTTATAAAGTTAATGGGTCTACAGGAGAGGCATACAATATAAGTTGGTTCACAATAGCCGTTATTCCCATGAGTAAATGCCTGTTAACCACGGGGAAGCAACGTTTCTGGTGTCCCATTTTCCCAAAATGAAATTATTAACCGGAAAATTTCCATGGATACATAAAAAAGAACAGAAGATGATGGTGACAAACTAAGATGTTGATTTTTCCATACATTTCTTTTAAATTAGAATCCTTGCGCCACGAGCCCTTGTCTGAACCACGGAACATGCTACATGGGATATACTGAGAAAAAATACGTTTGTGCTTGCCCAGCTGACTTTCGAGGTGAAAACTGCGAAGGTAAAACGTGTTCTGCTAACTTCAGTACAACCTTGTTTTTGCTAAAATTCTCTTATTTATAACAAGGGTTTATGACACATAATTAAGTATCATGATCAGTGAAACGATGCAAGAAGATCCTCCTGGTCGACAATGGAGAGTTGCAGAAAATGCAATTAATTTCAAGACGCTGTTAAAGTCCTTTTGTGTGTGTTTTTTTTTCGGGTTAAAAACTTGCAGGAGAGCGTGCTATTTGTAATTTTTTGTTGCCACTTTCTTGACTTTCAACATTCGGGGTGGAACCCCTCTCTACGGACACCCATATGTGACCCTCCACAGGATTTTAATGCTAAAGGTGAAAGCACGCGCACGACACGCTTTCACTTTAAAACAAAAGAATTTATTTTAACACGCTTTAGCACGCTTGCAATCTTGCCTCATTAGCAATTTCTTTTGTTTCAGAGGACACGCTTGAGACAATTAAGCGTGAGCAAGTCGAACAAAAGAGCGTGTTAAAGTGTTCAAACAAAAGCTCCGTGCGAAAAAGCACAACACGCTTTCAGTGTGCGCAAAAGCACGCAAGGCGTGTTATCTATAAGCTAAATAAATTTCCTCTACAAAAAGGAACCGTAAATGATTATGAACGGCACCCTTTTTGGTAACTATCGAGAAAGAAAAAGTTATGCCTCAGCGATCGCAGCGATAGTATCTGATTGAAAAGACGTTGTCGCTTGAAAAAGTATAAACAGTGAACGGTGTGACCTACTGGATTTATGGGTAGAACTATATTAGCATTGCAAAATCAAAGTTCTTTCCAGAAATTTTTACTGACGAAGCTGTGCAAAGGTTATCTTAGCTTTCCTTAATTTAAAACACATTTGCAATTTTCTCAGAAACAGTGATCTTTCGAACTTAAGACATTTTCTTGCCGATCGCAGCAATCGCGATCAAATATAATAGAAATCATCAAGTGCCAGGATCACTAAATTGTATTTATTTTTTAGCGATTGCAAGGATCGTAGTGATCAACTGAAAACCAGCCTGCTTTTCTAGATGTACCAAAATTCCAAAACGTTTCCAACGTTGCTTAATTGATCCGGCCGACAATAACACAAAAAGCGAAACATCAGTTAATTAATGACTGTTTCAACGCTTTTTGAATAGTAAGTAAAAAATGTATTTTTTAACAGAATTCGGAAATTGTATGGTGCTTTTTCGTTTGATTGTTTGTTTTTGCCACGATAATACAGCGTGTTTAGAGTACTAAAGCTCGATCCGAGAATTAAATCTCTGTCAGTCACACACTGAGAAAAGAGAAAAAGAACTAAATTAAAAGTAGACCGCGTGAAATTCTTGAAGGCAATCATTTGTTCCATAAAGTTCGGTCATTGAATTAATTCATCGAGCTCGATCTAAAGGGGTGACGGTCAAGCTACTCGAAAGTGATGTCGTTTGAAGTTATGTCGTCCAAAACCTGATAATACGAGTTTTGTCGCCCAAAATTCAAAGAAAAGTCGCCCGCAATCCTCCCTCATTCTACAGTGTTTTTAGTTTACAGATTCTTGTTTTTTTCGTCCTGTGAAGAACGAGATATAGTACACGTTTACAGCGCTTGATTCGTCTTAGCATAGCGTAACGAGATATCTTCACATAAATTATGATTGATAGCGCTTCGAAATTACAAGGGCTTCAGCATTATTTTCCCGAAAAATTTAGCTTCCAATTGAAAGTTTTAGGAAAGTGAGAATTTTATCGTATTTTCGGTTCCGAAAATTTTAGGATTCCTTAATTCTCTACGAAAAATAGCTTAACTGGGGAATGAAATGGAAAAAATTAAACTTCAGAAAATCGTAAGGAATTTATTAGATAACCTTCGAAAATTGTACATGTATGGAACGGTCATCTAGAAATGTTTCGCCTTCCTCAACCTATAGAAAATTCTAGGCAGTTTTTGTTTCTCCGATTTAATTACCTTCGTTCGTCTCAGCATGGCTTAAAGAAATATATTAAACTAATTTATTCAACTTCATTTCTCTGTGCATTACTGCTAATAAATATTCCGGTCGCATAACTATAATTTTCAGGCGACATAACTTCAGTCCCTCGCATGCGATATCAGGCCTCTTTGCGATTCCGGTCAACAGCCGACAGCCGGAGGAATTGGTTTACACTGATCTCGCGTTAATTCCAGGCTAGACCACCATTAAGTCGTGATTTTCAAATGGCCACGGTTACTATCAAATTCCAAAACAGTCTCAATTGGTATATTTGATTCACTTCGACCAGTTATCAATGCTGATTAAATCCGCTTAAAACTCAAGCCATTTTTATCATCTTAGCGGTTTTAGTAATCAAGCGTGTTCAGCGTGTCTTACCCTAATTGCACGCTAACCGTGCTATAATTCGCACACTTACCGTGACATATGGCACGCTACAAAAAAACAAAAGGTCTAGCGGGTTAAATTTGCCAAAACAAAGGCAAGTGTGTCCGTCTTTGTTTTTTCAATTTAATATGCGCATATCCGTGATCTACGGCACGCTAAGCGTGTCGTGCAAGCGTGTCGTGCGCGTGCTTTCACCTTTAGCATCAAATTCCTGTGGAGGGTCACATATATTCGGACAGTTTCGTTTGTCGTAACCAATTAAATAAGCACCAATCCCAAACTTCCAATGCTCTCCCGCGGGGTAGTGCCTAAGAAAAATGGCATCTGGTGCCTTATCACTGATATCTCTTCTCACCACGGTTTTTCAATTAATTATTACATAACTAAGGAAGCCTTCACATTGCATTACGCTACCGTCCACCAAGCTCTCTCTCTAGTTAGACGTCACGGCCCTCGTGGTAAAACTAAACATCAAACACGCCTTCCGACACTGCCCAGTCTGCTCGGAGAAACGCGAGCTACTCGGCATGCACTGGCAGGACAACTTCTACATTCTCCGCCTCCCCTTTGGCTTACGATCCCATTCCTTGCCCCTTCTTCTTTAATCACTTGGCCGACGCCTTTGAGTGGCTCCTGAAGAACAACTATCACATTCAAGACCTCATGCATGAAATGGATAACTATTTTACGGTTGGTTCTCCCAATTCTTCGTTGTGCACCCACAATGTCGAAACCATCCCTGATGTAGCTTCTTAAGTGGGCATACCTTTGACCCCAGACAAACTTGAAGGACCCACTATCCGTTTGGTTTTTCTAAGTACCCTCACCTTTCTTGCTGAATCGTAATTCTTCCCCCCGATCAGCAATATCATCTCCATAAATATAGGTCTCAAAACATCTCTATACTGCACAGAAACAATTCCAAAGATTTCCCTAAGATTCATGTGTACGTGAAACCTGAATTTATAGAGAAAAGCTTAGATCGTTAGCTCATAAAACCGGACCATTAACCCAAAGATTTCAAAAAAAGCCAATCACATGTTACCCGGATACTTTAATATATTCTCAAAAGTCTCCAGGGCATTTTTTCAGTTCGCTATGATCCGCATCAGAATCAGAATGTTCTTCGCCTCGGTTTGCCATTTTGACAAAAATAATGGTAAAGTCATATCCATCCGTCTGACAGTTTACAATTTCTATGCGGTGTTCCGGGCATATTGAATAATGAGGCACTCGCATGTTGTGAAAATTATCAGTCTAAAATCAATTGGACACTTTCTCTCTGTAGTTGGGTTATCATTCAGCGATTTAATAATTAATAATTTAATAATTGCTAATTAATGGCTTGTGTATATAACTCTGCCTATATTGCAATATCCGTACCACCTCTATCTATCCTTTCACAGATTTTTACTCAACATCTCAACTTCCGACAGTTAACAATTTTTATGCGTAGCACACGACATCTTGAATAATGAAGCACAGCGTTTCTTAAATAATGACTGAAATAAATAACTTTTTCTCTGCTCAGCAGCTGCATTCTTATCCTGCAGCCATTTAAAGAAGGCACACCCTACAGCAACAAGTGGGAATTACACTATTGACTCAGATGGCGAGGGAAATCTGGAGCCATTCTCAGTGTACTGTGACATGACCAACAAGAGCGGAGTTGGTGTGACAGTCATAAGTCACGACAGTGAGAGCAGGACTATTGTGGATGGGTATGAAGATCATGGTAGTTACTCACGTGATATTAATTACACAGGAGCAAGTCTATCTCAGCTCGCCAGTCTCACCAATGTCTCCTCACACTGCGAGCAGTTTATCAAGTACGAGTGTCGCAATGCAGTTTTTTGGTATGAAGCCGATCCAGATGGATGGTGGGTGTCACGTGATTCTACTAAGATGACCTACTGGGGTGGAGCATCACCTGGAAGTGGCAAGTGTGCATGCGGGATGAACAACACATGCGCAAATCCCAACAAAGGCTGCAACTGTGATTCGAATGACGATGTATGGCGTGAAGACAGCGGTCTCCTCACTGACAAGACAAAGCTTCCAGTAAAACAGCTCAGGTTTGGTGATACAGGTGGAAGTCATGAGAAAGGCTACCACACTCTTGGAAAATTCAAGTGTTATGGCACAGCATAATCACTTGGGTATCATACAGACAAACTTATCGGTTAATGTCATAACTTATTGTTTTTTAGTGGAGTGTTAAAAGAAGTCTGTAAATACAAGCATCTGCAGCTTAGGGTCAATTAAAAAAAAAATCTTACCAGTGTAATGTACGAGTTTTCAGACTCTAAAGCAATACCTACACTGTACTCTTAGCAAATGATCGCTAAAATACACTCAGGTTTCACCGTAGAAAACATTGGATTGTATTTATAACAGAAAAAAACAGTCAAAATTATTAGCACTCTAATAAGCAGCAAAGCTACGGTGCTGTTGCAATACGGTATTGCATATTCAATTAGCTGACGATTGTTCAGATCGTTTTCCCCAATACGGACCATTCTTTGTTGATATCCAATTTGCTGTAGATCGCGTTAAAATTTAATATTCATTTTGCAGTGTAACTTTGTAGTTAAAACCGTTAGGACCTTGACGCTGAATAAACTTCGCTCGTCAAAAGTTGTCTTGTCAGGATATTTTCGCGAATTTCTTCATGCTGGAAGCGGAAAGTACATGGGGAAAGAGGTACCATGCACGAAAAATTAGATTTTCACAAATTTTCTCAGGGCAAATCATATGGTGCAAACGAAGAGGAAATCAAAGGCAAAGACGGGTAAATACTGCATTTGCATACCGGTCTATTTTAACACGGGGTTGTAAATTCGTGAGCGGCATTTGCCATCTTTACCCTCTATTTAACCTTAGTTTGCACTTTTTGGCACCACATTTGCACTAAATAAATTTGGCGTAAATCAAATATTTCGTGCTGACAGCAAGTGCTTTGCTGCCTGAACAACGCCTAAGCTTGAGAGCAAAGTTATACTGCCTTCGTTCGCTTAATACACCTCTGAAGTCTAAATCGATTTTGCGTTTTGCTATTTATCGCTACATGAATTAGAATATGCCATTGCTTTTATGGATTATAAAGCTTTTTTCTTTACTTCCATTTTATAGAAAACTTGCGGTTATAACTGTATCGATAGCCAGGGCCGGTATGGTTTTGGGCGACTTGGCCCCGATCATGATGTATTTGTTGTGGCTCAATATTATCCCTGGTTTAAATTGTACTTCACCTTGGTTCCAAACTCATTACCATGCATTACTATACCCCAAAACAAAGGGAAATAAAACTTAAACCAGGGATAAAACTGAATCACAGCGTATACATACGATTGCACGAATCTCGTTGTTAAATTACTACACCATAATCACAACCGTTAAGGTTTGTGTAATACAGGAAAACCTGCAGTGAGGGGACCGGCCCCTGTGACCAGACTTGCATGGTCTGTATATGGCATGGAAAATCACTGTTGACGGAGTATCTGCTTTGATGGGAGATGTCCGTTATTGAAAGTTCGAAGGTGCACTCTTGTCTTTAAGATAAGAATGTATTTTTCAGTGTATTCCCATACCCAGGCATGTAACGTTAGGCACTGATGACTCCATACAATTCCTTGTACGATCTAAACAAATATTAGAAGCTTTTATTGGAGTAATCAGAGCGTAATAGTACCACTGAATAAAACGATTTCTTGCATAAATCAGCTGTATTTACGAAACATAAACATGATGAAGAAACTACAAGAATTTACAATGCAAGCGAAAAAACACATGTCCAAAAAAACTAAAGGGGGGTCCGAGCCCCTGAAGACTAACTTAGGGCCTAGTTCTCACGCGTCCGAACAATCTAACAGAACATAAAATTTCAGTTCCGAACAACCACAATTTCAACACCAATTCGCACTAGCACGATGATTTTTTTGGGCAGTTGTGCTTTTACCGATTTCTATTTGACCCAATCCCAGAGTTACGTAACTTTTTTTGTAACGTCACAACTTCTTTGCTATTTAGGGGACATCAATGTTTACAAACGTTGTTTTTTTGTTACAAGACCCAATGCGCTTCTGGTTGGCACTTATTTAGGTCACGTCAACGTGAGTATCGCTATTGAATTATCATAGCCTTTGTATAGAAGGTAGTTTCGTTTGGCCAGGGCGCAAATGAGCAGCCGAAGCCGCGAAAACACACCCACAATCGCGACTTCACTGCTCGCTTGACCTCCCCTTCGTTCCGCTCCACCACTATTAAAATCTCCAGGTACGCGGGGCTAGGACTGGCACATTGCGCTTTATCGTATAGCATTTGCCATCTTTTTTCGTCCCCACCCTGGGGCATTTGAAGCTCAAGAATCCTCACCCCCGGGAATTTGCCATCCGAGACAGAAAAAAAATGCAAATGCCCGGGGGAAAATAGATGGCGCGAAAAGAAGTTGACATTGCTCCTGCGAGGCTATGCCTGTGATCCGCGGACAGTTTGCAATTCATATTCAATTCAGTTCTTGAAGAGCAGTTTTTATTTTTTGTACCTACTTTTGTTTGTAGGTAGGAAGGTAGAACTGAATGTGTAGGGATTTCAAATCACCTGGGGTAGGGACGGGATGTGTCGTCGACGCTGATTTGTTGAATAAAGATGGAAGCAAGGTTCCAGGAACTCTAAACTTTGTCATTTTATTTTATCAGGATTAAAGACTCCTCATAATATACAATTGCTCAATTTTTTTGGTGAATTCCATACCTGGGTTCGGTTTAGTCTGGAAGAAGAAACTGTTTGAAGCGAACATGACGAGAAGCAGGGAGGAAGTATTCAGTTATAACACCATCACTAAGTTGGAGATCGGACGAAAATTCGAAAATTGTTCATGGTCAGCATCGTGTTTTTTCAAAGCAGGAACCAGCTCAGCCACCTTAAGTGTCTCAGGCATCGTGCCAGTCGAAAGTGATAGGTTCACAATGTTGGTTATAGTAGGCAACAGCGTGTTAAGACAGTTCTTCATCAGTGAGGCCGGCAGGGGATCTAAGTTACATGATTTCTTCGCTGACTTGCAGGCGTACTCCTTAACAGTGTCTTGACTAAGCACAGCAAAGTCCGACAATTCAACCTGGCATCTAGTAGACTCACTCGAAGAAAGGTCAGGATCCGCGGTTCTCTTTTCATGAAGATCAGCATGTATCTTGTCAATTTTCTGAGCGAAAAAATCCGCAATAGCGTTCGCGAGGGAACAACGGGACTTTTGCAGCAACTTATTTACAGTGTTAAAGAGAACCTTCTGATTACCAGAATTTTCACTAATTATCTCTCTGTAATAGGTGGTTTTCAAGTTGCATATTAAGTTATTGACAACATAACACTGATGCACATAGCGTTCACGGTCAGATTGCATTTTGGATTTCCGCCATTTCCTTTCCAGTCTACGTCTTTTGTTTTTCTCATCTGCAACCTCTTGAGTGTACCATGGGGCCGATGGACGTACAGTAACCTGCTGCTTTATCTGGGGGGCGTGCTTGTCTAGTATCGACAGGAGCGTACGGTCATATTGTTCAACTAGAGTGTTTAAATGCGAGTAGCTGTTTTGCAGGAGATCAGAGTCGCGTCGGTCCTCACAAAAGGAGTCGATGTCAATGGACCGTAACTTGCGGAATTTCACCACCTTCTTCCCAAAACGCGGTTTCTGGAGATGCAATTCACAGTGAACCGCAAAATGATCAGCAATGCATGGATCTCTAACCTTTACACGTCGCACCAGATTGTCATCCAGCCCCACCACAGATCTAGTTATGATGAGGTCAAGTGTATGGCCCTTATTATGGGTCGGACCCTTAACATGCTGCTGAAGACCAAAGCCATCCAACATGTCAACAAACCGCTTTGCATGCCTGTTGTTCAGATCATCAATGTGGAAATTGAAATCTCCTGCAATCAATAAATCCCCAGACCATTCAGCAAGAATGTGCTCCAGAAGTCGCGAGAACACCTCATAAAAAAGTGCATAAGCACTTTCATCCGGCGGGCGATAAAAGCAGAGAATTTGCACAGCTTTGGCACCCTTGAGGGAAATATCCATCAGCTCAAATGATTTGAAGGTCTCCCAAACATTAGTATTTACAGCAAGGGAATCTTTAAGTAAGAATCCAATCCCACCTCCAAAAGTTTCAGTGATACGATGGACATGCAAAAAAACCGATATCCACTCGGGCAGAGAGTACCCAACGCTATGGCGTCAGCATTTCCCGGCCTCAGCCATGTCTCTGTTATTATTAATTCATCAAGATCGTGCTCAACCGTAAAATCTTTCACGATCAGCCCTTTCTCTCGTATAGATCTGACATTCAGTAAAGAAAGCTGAAATGGAGCAGTGAGCGAATGTAGCTGAGTCGGCCTTTGTTGTGTTATTTGCACAGGAATCCGTCTGCCGATTTCAGGGCCAGGCGAAGGATGGACATCACCGCTTAGTTGAATCGATAGTTCCAAATAATTAAAGGTAGCGACGCAATTTGGATAGTAAATGATGTTACAACGGAACCACTTTCTCTTGATTCTAAGCCGCATTCTTTGCTGTCCAATAATAAGAAACAAATCAGGGATTCCATTGTCATTATAGAAACAAGCACAGGCTCTCGGAATTCCACAAGCGTAATGGAGTTTAGCAATGCAAATTGACCCAAACCAGCCAAGCGAAGACGACACGATGATTGTAGAAAAACATCCAGTTTTGATGGAACCATCAACCAAATTGAGCAGATAAACACGTCCCCTTGTTCCAGAACAACTTAGGTGAACACTACTCGTATTGATAGCATTGTAGGTATGATACTTCGGATACAAGAGACACAAAACTAGAGCAGCCAGAAATGCGTGGCCGAACGCCATGTCCCTAGGTATAGTTTCATAATAAAAATAAGGCCATCACATTTCTTTTGTTTTCCCTCCACCACCACCACCACCACCACCCACCGCCACCACATTTTTATTATTTTCCCTCCACCACCACCACCACCACCACCGCCACCACATTTCTATTGTTTTCCCTCCTCCACCACCACCACCACCACCACCACCGCATTTTTATTGTTCTCCCTCCACCACCACCGCCACCACATTTTTATTGTTTTCCCTCCACCACCACCACCACCACCGCCACATTTCTATTGTTTTTCCTCCACCACCGCCACCTCATTTCTAGAAGAAATGTATGTAATCTCAGACTGGAGGGTTTTTTTGTGCCCGAAATACAACCTGCGTATTTAGAAGGGATGTACGGAATCTCGAACTGTGGTTACACTGGATAAAGATGATGATTCCAATGTTGAGAGCTGTTGCGTGACTAGCGACGCGCGACACCCACGCGTGTGTTTGAGAAAATAAAGACACGGCTACAAATGGCCGGTTTGTCTTCTTTTGTCTCTTTTGGCCTGGTTTTGGTCTTCCAGGCCTGGTTATGGCCTTTCTTGCATGTGTTTGGCCTTTCTGACACTCTATATAACCTGACCATTGCGAAAAAGATGTCATTTTTGTTCATCCATCGAACTGTCAACATGGTTTACAAGAGAGTTTGCAGTCGCAAGAAACAAAGAAAGTCGAACTCTTGGCTTAGAGGTCATAGGAATATTGTGTAGACACGGAAGGATTATTTATTATTCCTCGAAATAGAACGGAAAAACGGATTTGTAATAGTCAGTCAAAGGATTAATTTTCATTCCTTTTCCTTTCAAATCGCTGTGTATTTGACTCTTTTTTGTTATTGGGTTTTAATAAAGTTTCTAAAACGGTATCTGTCTTGTGGGTTTATTGCTGGCCATTATTAGTCGCGTGTTTTAATTGATCCTTGTTAAGTTATTTAAAATTGTTCATATAATAATACTTCAAGGTGCTTCCTTGGGTCTAGCTGTAGAGATCAAATAATTTGTATTCAACTTTGGGCTTGTTAACCCGCATAATTAACTGACTAACGCTAACGGCGCGTGAATTGACAAGACCATAAGCTCATCAAGCGCTGAGTTTCCTCGAGATAGAACGGAGAAAACGCTTTTGTAATGGTGAGCCAAAATTGAAATGGAGAGTTTTCAGCTCCACTTTGTGTATGTGTGTGTGTGTGTTTTGTTTGTATATCCGATTTTTAGCGCTAAATAAGAAGACATGTGTTGCTAGGCGATCGCACCGCTTATTCCTATCTTTTTTTAATAGACGTTCCACTTATTCGTTACTAGAATGGAGTTTATTCAAGAACCAAAAGAGTTAGGGTTTACTTTAGAATCACCTGTTGTTTTCTATAGAATTTTTATACCCTGTGCAATACTTTCTACAGAGTCAGGTAAACAGAGATTGACATTTTTGCTTGATAAGCAGTTTTTCGCTTCGCTGAGCTTCGACCTCGTTTTCATGTTTTGCCCGAAAAATTAGTACGATTTCGCTTTCGCTTAACTTCCTTTTTCCTTTTTTTGAAGTGAAGACTTTTCAGGTAACCTCCGTGTCTTGGTTTTGTTTATAACCGATTTTTAGGGAAAATAATTTAATGATTAAAGATTTTTCGTTTAGTATAATCTGCAAAGATAACACGTTCAAAATTTGCCCGCTTTTATTTTGAACACATAACAGTTTCTACAATATGCAATCAGAAGACTATAGCAAACAATATCTAATCAGAAAACTATAGCAAATAGCTAATTATTTAAAAATAACTTTTCTGTTTATAGATTATGATCTCAACATTTTTTGATGACGTCAACTCCAGGAAATTCTGATGTCATTTGCTCCTTGCCAGCTACAAATAAACTATGACATCATCAAATCTTAATGGAATGCATGACGTCATCGGCATTAATTTATACCACTCAAAAACTTAATTAAATCCACAAAAACCGGAGTAACCGGTGCCTTATCCACTACTCACATGTTAACCGGCTACTTTAATACATTGTCAAAGGTCTCCATATTCTTCGCCCCAGTTTGCCATTTTGAGAAAATTAATGGCAAATTCATCTCCATCCGTCTGACAGTTTACAATTTCTATGCGGTGTACCGGGCATATTAAACAATGAAGCTCCCGCATGTTATCAGTCTAAAATTAATTGGACACCTTCTCTCTGTAGTTGCGTTATGGTTATCATGCAGCCATTTAAAGAAGGGAAACCCTACAATAGTAAGTGGAAATTACAATATTGATCCTGATGGCGAGGGAGGTCTGGAGCCATTCTCAGTGTACTGTGACATGACCAACAAGAATGGAGTTGGTGTGACAGTCATAAGTCACGACAGTGAGAGCAGGACTATTGTGGATGGATATGAAGATAAAGGTAGTTACTCACGTGATATTAATTACACAGGAGCGAGTCTATCTCAGCTGGCCGGTCTCACCAGTGTCTCCTTACACTGCGAACAGTTTATCAAGTACGAATGTCACCACTCAGTTTCTTGGCATTACGCCAATCCATACAGATGGTGGGTGTCACGTGATTCTACTAAGATGACCTCTTGGGGTGGAGCATTGCCTGGAAGTGGCAAGTGTGCATGCGGGATGAAAAACACATGTACAGCAAACGGGCGCTGTAACTGTGATGCGAATGACAATGTATGGCGTGAAGACAGTGGTCTCCTCACTGACAAGACAAAGCTTCCAGTAAAACAGCTCAGGTTTGGTGATACAGGTGGAAGTAAAGAGAAAGGCTACCACACTCTTGGAAAATTCAAGTGTTATGGCACAGCATAATCACTTGGGTATCATACAGACAAACTTATCGGTTAATGTCCTAATTTATTGTTTTTTAGTGGAGTGTTAAAAGAAGTCTGTAAATACAAGCATCTGCAGCTTAGGGTCAATTAAAAAAAAATCTTACCAGTGTAATGTACGAGTTTTCAGACTCTATAACAATACCTACACTGTACTCTTAGCAAATGACCGCCAAAATACACTCATTTTTCACCGTAGAAAACATTGGATTTATTTATAACAGAAAAAAACAGTCAATATTATTAGCACTCTAATAATCAGCAAAGCTACGGTACTGTTGCAATACGGTATTGCATATTCAATTAGCTGACGATTGTTCAGATCGTTTTTCCCAATACGGACCATTCTTTGTTGATATCCAATTTGCTGTAGATCGCGTTAAAATTTAATACTCATTTTGCAGTGTAACTTTGTAGTTAAAACCGTTAGGACGCTGACGCTGAATAAACTTCGCTCGTCAAAAGTTGTCTGGTCAGGATATTTTCGCGAATTTCTTCATGCTGGAAGCGGAAAGTACATTGGGAAAGAGGTACCACGCACGAAAAATTAGATTTTCACAAATTTGCTCAGGGCAAATCATATGGTGCAAACGAAGAGGAAATCAAAGGCAAAGACGGGTAAATACTGCATTTGCATACCGGTCTATTTTAACACGGGGTTGCAAATTCGTGAGCAAATGCGGCATTTGCCATCTTTACCCTTTATTTAACCTTAGTTTGCACTTTTTGGCACCACATTTGCACTAAATAAATTTGGTGTAATGGAAATATTTCGTGCTGACAGCAAGTGCTTCGCGGGTGAACAACGCCTGATCGTGAGGCCAAAGTTATACTGGCTTCGTTCGCTTAATACACCTCTGAAGCCTATAACCATTTTGCGTTTTGCTATTTATCGCTACATGAATTAGAATGAGCCATTGCTTCTATGGATTATAAAGATATTTTTTTAGTTCCATTTTATAGAAAACTTGCTTTTATAATTGTTTTGTTATCCACGACCGGTATGGTTTTGGGCGACTTGGTCCAACAACGCCTGCGCACGAGAGCAAAGTTATACAGCATATACATACGATTGCACGAATCTCGTTGTTAAATTACTACACCTTAATCGCAACCGTTAAGGTTTGTGTAATACAGGAAAACCTGCAGTGAGGGGACCGGCCCCTGTGGCCAGACTTGCATGGTCTGTATATGGCATGGACAATCACGGTTGACGGAGTATCTGCTTTGATGGGAGATGTCCGTTATTGAAAGTTCGAAGGTGCACTCTTGTCTTTAAGATAGGAATGTAGTTACAGAGTATTCCCATACCCAGGCATGTAACGTTAGGCACTGATGACTCCATACAATTCCTTGTACGATCTAAACAAATATTAGCAGCTTTTATTGGAGTAATCAGAGCGTAATACTACCACTGAATAAAACGATTTCTTGCATAAATCAGCTGTATTTACGAAACATAAACATGATGAAGAAACTACAAGAATTTACAATGCAAGCGAAAAACACATGTCCAAAAAAACTAAAGGGGGGTCCGAGCCCCGAAGACTAACTTAGGGCCTAGTTCCCACGCGTCCGAACAATCTAACAGAACATAAAATTTCAGTTCCGAACAACCACAATTTCAACACCAATTCGCACTAGCACGATGATTTTTTTGGGCAGTTGTGCTTTTACCGATTTCTATTTGACCCAATCCCAGAGTTACGTAACTTTTTTTGTAACGTCACAACTTCTTTGCTATTTAGGGGACATCAATGTTTACAAACGTTGTTTTTTTTGTTACAAGACCCAATGCGCTTCTGGTTGGCACTTATTTAGGTCACGTCAGCGTGAGTATCGCTATTGAATTATCATAGCCTGTGTATAGATGGTAGTTTCATTTGGCCAGGGCGCAAATGAGCAGCCGAAGCCACGAAAACACACCCACACGGCGGCTGGGTGCAGGTGGAATTGACTGATGCATAATGCCGAATGATTTGATCGAGAGCCACCCAAAATACAAGAGCGAAATAGACAAGTCAAGGCTGCAGTGGGGTCTGACGTAATGTTCCTTAATTATGCATAGATGGCGCGAAAAGATGTTGACATTGTTCCTGCGAGGCTATGCCTGTGATCCCCGGACAGTTTGCAATTCATATTCAATTCAGTTCTTGAAGAGCAGTTTTTATTTTTTGTACCTACTTTTGTTTGTAGGTAGGAAGATAGAACTGAATGTGTAGGGATTTCAAATCAGCTGGGGTAGGGACGGGATTTGTCGTCGACGCTGATTTGTTGAATAAAGATGAAAGCAACACTGAAGGTTCCGGGAACTCGAAACTTTGTCAATTTATTTTATCAGCATTAAAGACTCCTCATAATATACAATTGCTCAATTTTTTTGTGAATTCCACACATGGGTTCGGTTTAGTCTGGAAGAAGAAACTGTTTGAAGCGGACATGACGAGAGGCAGGGAGGAAGTATTCACTTATGCAGCTTTTTTAATGCCGTGATGATTGAGTACCCACCCCAGACTTCCCTTCCCTAGCCCTTGGATGGAAATGTTATTAGCTGGCAAACGTATTGTATAACCATGGCTGTTTGCGCATCAAACACGAACAAAATGACCTGCATATTATCAAACAATGCGGTTGGCAGACGTCTAATATGTTTGCGTACATTAACAGGTTACGTTGGTTCATGTAAATTGCCATAGTCGAGAATGTGGTCGTTACAAACTCACAGACATAAGCTTCCTCGGTAGTCTCATACCCAGCCGTTTTTGTTTCAATTTTAATGCAACGCGAAGACAACAAAAAAGAGCTGCGTGGGACTGACTACTTCCTCCCTGGCACTCTTCAGTAGTGTCCCCTTCAAATATGGTTACTCCTTAACGAGACTTAAACGGAACGCTGGAGGACCATCCTTGGATAAATAATTACGCACCTGTTTTCGGATTGCGAGAGCAACGGCCAAAATGTTAAAAGAAGCTAATTAAACCGAAATAAGCTCTGGCGAATCGGCCGTCTTTTCCAGCTTAAGCTAAGCAATGTATTAATTGCAAACGAAGAAAAAAGTCCAAAAAAATATATTCATTCAAGAACTCGAGTTCCTGTTGATTTAATAAATGCTGAATGCTACAGTGTTTTTGAAAATGGGTATATAATGCAAGCGACATTTTCCTTTGATAAACACGAAATTTTTAATTGGAATTGCTTAAAATGTTCAGACGAGTTTTAGTCGAGCTCAGGGAGATCTTCAAGCGGATTAGCTAAGCTTTTGTCGTCATATTTCGGTTCTTTCACCGAGCAAGAACTTGAAAATGAAGAAGACATGCACAAATGAGTTTTTTTACACGTGCTCGTTGATACAAATCATATCATTTTTAATTGTGTCTATTTCCTTTCTTCGTGGGAGGTTAAGGGGCGGTAGAAAAATTTTCTCTACAGATTTTTGAGTGGGATAAAGCACCAACTATTTAACAATTATTCCTCGAGCCGGAATGGGCTCTGAGTCAATAGCCCATGAGGCCGAAGGCCATGAGGGCAAGAGGAATAATTGTTTTACTAAAATAAAACTAGTTGGTCAAAAATATTGAGAATAAAAAAAAATTAGCTAGTTAAAGCTAGACTTTAATCCTTTTTTGTCGCCAAAGAGCCCGCGCTTTTCGCTACTAGTGGGCTATAACATATAGCCTAGTAGTAGCTCAACCAATCACACCGCAGCATTGTTAACAGACCACAAGTTGGATTTTACTAAAATGTGAGAACATAGTCCTAGGCTAAGTTTACAATATACAGTATAGCTTTTGAACCGGCACGAATCGAAATCCATACTGGATAGGGCTTCTGTTCCCACATAACTGAACGGTAGCTTTTGTAACGGAGCGAGGCTGCGCCGCGCCGATTTCTAAGGTGGGTAGCTTTTCGTGTCGGCAAGAAAACTGAGAAAAGCTATCCGGCAGTCTTCATTGAAGATTGATTTTCAGCTTTAATGGACCCCATATATGTGCCAAGCTCTACTGTCTTTTTGTTAAAAAAATAGGTTTATTATAAACATTTTCAATCATTATATTTTTAACAGTTGGTGCATATGGGGGATGTTCCACACAAATGACTGGTATATACGCAGTGTCTAGGTTTGAGTTTATTAACTTAATTTTCATCGGGAGAACTTCCACCCTGAAGATAGATTAAAATTGGAGTAACTAAGTACAAAATTTCCTAAACAAGCTATTGGTTATTCGTATTTTTTTCTAAAAACGCTTTTCAGGAACAGCAACCCTTACCTTAAATTTTAATCAACATACTAAAAATGTCCTTCTTAAATTACACGCCAACTATCTTCATTAAATATTACAGAGGAAAAAAAAATAAACAAGGAGTGACTGGGAAGTTCGAGAGCGAAAGCCATACCCATAAAATGCTTTGTTTTTCACCACCCGGCCGACCCTATCGTTGGGAAAATTAAAAAAAAAAAAAAAAAAAAAAAAATGGAAGGGAAAGATAACTTAATTCCTTTTTAATTAGTCTATAAGCATAGCATTCTTTTTTATGTGTGAACTCAGATATAGTTAACTTTAATTATATATAATAATATTAATTCATTCTTATCTGTCATTGAAAGCTCTAGCGGAATTCATTACAAATGCTCTCTTTAATATTGCAACATCACGTTTTCACGATCTTTATACTACAAAATACAAAAATCCGTGATGTACAGCAGTGCACTGAAAAACGAATAGCAGTCATACTAGATGGTAAACGAGAAAGAACCCAGTCATCATCTCATTAGTACTGGGACCTCAGAACCTGTAATTTACTGTAGAGGGTGAAATACTAAATAAATTGAAAAAAGCAACCAAAAGAAAAAAAAAACAAACAAGGATAAAATGAATAAAACACAACAAGCTTATACATTTATCTGTAGATTTATTTTTTGTCTTCTAGAGGAATCCTACATGAACAGTTGCAGCTGACTTAGACAATTTTAAAGACACA